TAGTTTATCTACAGAATGGTCTATAGACTTTACTCAAGATCAAACTAATATAAGCTTACCAAATTTTTATAATAATCTATCCATAGAATGGTTTATAGAATTTAGTCAAAATCAAACTAATAATAATGTATCTACAAAAATGTCTATAGACTTTATTACTAACAATATACTTATACAATAGAACGGAAATTTAACTCCAAATCAAACTAATACAAGTTTGCTAAATATTAATAATAATCCAATTATAGAATTATCAGCAGGCATTGCTCAAAACGATGAGGATCAAATTAATCATAATCTATTTGTAGAATAGATCGCATGTTTTATTCAAAATCAAATTAATACAAATTCGCCAAATAGTTATAGTACAGAAATTACTCAACATTATAAGAAACAAATTAATACTTTACAAGATAATACAGAATTAGTTAAAGACAGTAAATCTCTAATTTCACTCGTCTTTAGACATAAAAAATATATAAAAAAACAGTGCAAAAAATGTAAAATTTCCAGAATTTACTACAATAAAAATTCTAATTAATGTAAACATTGTTATCGTGCCTTATTACGTACCTTAAGTGGCAATAAATTAATAGACAATTTTATCGAATCAACACATACTTTTAAATATTGTACAAATAGGGAAAAATTGGAATTTATTCTATATAACCAATTTACCAATATTGAATATCTCGCTAAGGGAGGGTTTAGTGTAATATATAAAGCAACATGGGTTGATGGGTCTATTTGTCATTGGGATCCTAAGAAACAAAAATTTGTTCAACAAAAAATTATGATGTTGTTCTTAAAATTCTTAATAATTCAGATTCTAGTTATTTAAATGAGGCTTGTATGTAAAATTACATATGTGGTTATATAATTTGTTTGAATTTAAAACTTAACATTTGTTTATTATCATATTTAATAACTCTATTATTTAATTAAAAACCTTTTTTCATTGTACAAAAAATAGCAAAGATGATGATTGTGAAATTCATCAAAATCTTGGTATTATGCAGTATCCTAAAACAAAGATTATATTATAGTTATAAAACATGCGCAGAATAGGGACCTACATTGTTTTCTAAATAAAAGTGCAGATACTTTATCTTGGATACTATTAACAAAAATTTCACAAGGACTCTGTCACTTTCATAATTATAAATTTATTCATCAAGACCTTCATAGTGGCAATATTCTTATTAACTAGAATAATATTTTAGCAATTGCAAATTTAGGAATAAGCAAACCTAAAGATGCATCATCAGATGAGAATACAATATATAGATGGCAAAGTCTTATAGCGTGCCACTTTAAAAAACTAAGAGACCAGTTTTCTCTACTTGCTTAAATCATCAAACAAGCAAAGAAGTGACAAACGAAAAGTTCATCACCATTGACTAAAAGTCATAGCTTCTACATGCTAAAGCATCAATACCACAGACCAAAGCTTTGTAGCTTGCCGCTTGAAAAAACTAAGAATCTCTGGTTTTCTCTACTTGCTAAAATTATTAAACAAGCAAAGAAGCGACGAACGAAGAGTTCATCACTGTTGACTAAAAATCACAGCTTCTACATTCTAAAGTGTTGACACCGCAAACCAAAGTCTTGTAGCTTGCCGCTTGAAGAAACTAAGAATCTCAGTTTTTCTACTTGCTAAAATTATCAAACAAGCAAAGAAGTGACGAACAAAGAGTTCATCACTGTTGACTAAAAGTCACAGCTTCCGCATTCTAAAGCGTTGACATCGCAAACCAAAGTCTTGTAGCTTGTCGCTTGGAAAAACTAAGAAACCAGTTTTTCCAACTTGCTTAAATCATCAAACAAGCAAAGAAGTGACGAACGAAGAGTTCATCACTGTTGACTAAAAGTCACAGCTTCTGCATTCTAAAGTGTCAACACCGCAAACCAAAGTCTTGTAGCTTGTCACTTGGAAAAACTAAGAAACCAGTTTTTTCTACTTGCTTAAATCATCAAACAAGCATGAAGTGACGAACAAAGAGTTCATTATATTGACTAAAAGTTATAGCTTCCGCATTCTAAAGTGTCGATACTGCAGACCAAAGTCTTGTAGCTTGCTGCTTGAAAAACTAAGAATCTCTGGTTTTCCCTACTTGCTAAAATCATCAAACAAGCAAAGAAACGACAAACGAAGAGTTCATCACTGTTGACTAAAAGTCACAGCTTCCACATTCTAAAGCATCGATACTGCAGACCAAAGTCTTGTAGCTTGCGCTTAAAAAAACTAAGAATCTTAGTTTTTCCTACTTGCTAAAATCATCAAACAAGCATGAAGCGACGAACAAAGAGTTCATCACTGTTGACTAAAAGTCACAGCTTCTACATTCTAAAGCATCAACACTGCAGATCAAAGCCTTGTAGCTTGCCGCTTGAAAAAACCAAGAATTTCAGTTTTTCCTACTTGCTAAAATCAACAAGCATAAAATGACGAATGAAGAGTTCATTACTGTTAACTAAAAGTTATAGCTTTCGTATTTTAAAGCATCGACACCGCAGACCAAAGTCTTGTAGCTTGCCACTTAAAAAAACTAAGAATCTCAGTTTTTCCTACTTGCTAAAATCATCAAACAAGCAAAGAAATGACGAACGAAGAGTTTATCACTGTTGACTAAAATTTACAGCTTCCGTATTTTAAAGCATCAATACCGCAGACCAAAGTCTTGTAGCTTGCCACTTGGAAAAACTAAAAAACTAGTTTTTCCAACTTGCTTAAATCATCAAACAAGCAAAGAAGCGACGAACAAAGAGTTCATCACTGTTGACTAAAAGTCACAGTTTCTACATTCTAAAGCGTTGACACCACAGATCAAAGCCTTGTAGCTTGCCGCTTGGAAAAACTAAGAAACCAGTTTTTTCTACTTGCTTAAATCATTAAACAAGCATGAAGCGACGAATGAAGTGTTCATCACTGTTGACTAAAAGTCATAGCTTCTGTATTCTAAAGCATCGACACTGCAGACCAAAGTCTTGTAGCTTGCTACTTAAAAAAACTAAGAATCCCCAGTTTTCTCTACTTGCTAAAATCATCAAACAAGCAAAGAAGCAATGAATGAAGAGTTCATCACTGTTGACTAAAAGTCATAGCTTCCACATTCTAAAGCGTCGACACCGCAGACCAAAGTCTTGTAGCTTGCCGCTTGAAAAAACTAAGAATCTCAGTTTTTCCTACTTGCTAAAATCATCAAACAAGCATGAAGTGACGAATGAAGAGTTTATCATTGTTGACTAAAAGTCACAGCTTCCGCATTCTAAAGCATCGACACCACAAACCAAAGCCTTGTAGATGTGTAGATTTAATTGACTAGTAGGCATGCAATTATATATGAATATTGGCTGATCTAATGTTGTTAGCCG